ACTTCCTGTGTTTCAGCCTGTGCCTGTTGCCCCTCGTCCTATTGCTGTAAACTACTGAAAAGAGTCTGGCTCCATCATCCTTCAACCCTCCCTTTAGATACTTGTAAGCCTTCTCCAGGCTAAAGAGCCCCAGCTCTTTGAGCCTTTCCTCATAAAGGAGGTGCTCCAATCCCTTAATCATCTTTGTTGCCCTACACTGGACTCTCTCCAGTAGTTCTCTGTCTCTCTTGAACTGGGGAGCCCAGAACTGGACACAGTATTCCAGTTGTGGCCTCACCAGTGCAGAGTAGAGGTTGACCTCCCTCAACCGACTGGCCACACTCTTCCCTATGCAGCCCAGGATTCCATTGGCCCTCTTGGTGACAAGGGCACATTGCTGGCTCACGGAGATCCTGCCATCGCCCAGGACTCCCAGATCCTTCTCCTCAGTAGCGCTTCCCAGAAGATCCGCCCCTAACCTATATTGGTGCCTGGGGTTCTTCCTCCCCAGGTGCAGGATCCTACACTTGCCCTTGTTGAACCTCATTAGGTTCTTCTCTGCCCAGCTCTCCAGCCTGTCCATGTCATGCTGGATGGCAGCACAGCCCTCTGGAGTGTCAGCCAGCCCTCCCAGTTTGGTATCACCAGCAAACTTGCTGAGGATACACTCTGTCCCCTCGTCCAGGTCATTGATGAATATGTTGAAGAGGACTGGGCCGACCATTGACCCCTGGGGGACACCACTGGTTACAGGCCTCCAACTTGACCCTGCTCCATTAATGACAACCAGGACTCAATCCACCCCACTGCCTCCCCCATACTTCCTTACTTTTCTAATGAGGATGTTATGGGAGACAGTGTCAAAAGCCTTGCTGAAGTCAAGTTAGATGACATCTGCTGTCCTCCCCTCATCCAGCCATCCAGCTATAACATCATAGGCTACCAGATTGGTCAAGCATGATTTACCCTTGGTAAATCCGTGTTGACCAATTCCTGTAACTTCTTGATCTTCAATTCACTGTCAATTTATACTATTTAATCTTTGTGCAAAATATTAATTGCAGAGTGGACTGAGAGTAACTGTGCACAGGGTGATATATCTAAAAGAGCGAACAGCAAAATGTTGTCATATCTTGGCTATTTCAGAATGAGGAAAGCACAGTTGTCAGTAAGATGGAGAAGCAACACCCTCTCCCTAGAGTAAGGGTAAATTACATCACTACGCCTTCTTAGTATTACAAAAATCACAGAATGATATGGGGTTGGAATGGACCTCTGGAGATTATCTAGTCCAAACCCCCTGCCAAAGCAGGTCCACTCAGAGCAGGTTGCACAGGAACGTGTCCAGGTGGGTTTTGAATGTCTCCAGAGATGGAGACTCCACCACCTCTCTGGGCAGCCTGTTCCAGTGCTCTGCCAACCTCAAAGAAAAGAAGTTCCTCCTCGTGTTTAGATGGAACTTCTTACGCTCAAGTTTGTGCCTGTTACCTCTTGCCCTGTCACTGGGCACCACTGAAAAAAGACTGGGCCCCATATGCTTTAAGTATTTATTCGCAGTGATCAGATCCCCTCTCAGTCTTCTCCAGACTAAAAAGACCCCACTCCCTCAGCCTTTCCTCAAAGAGAGATGTTCTAGGCCCCTAATCATCTATATAGCCCTCCGCTGTACCCTCTCCACCAGTTCCCTGTATTAATGAGTCACTGTCAGTCATTGTGTTATTTTTGCTTTAAAGATGCTATTTTCTGCATAACTTTTGCACAAAAAAATTACAGCTTGGCTAAGTCACACACAATTGAAGCTAATATCCATGTTCAGCTACCAGTTACTATGGTCTTATCACATATTACGGCCCTCGCGGTGCTGCAGATCACATGCTGCCACATGCACTTCAAAACTGGGGGAGACACAACACTGGCAATTGTTGCTTGGTGTTTATTTTTGAATGAGAAATAGGAAAGCTGGGGAGTGGTATTTCCCAAACCCGATGTGTTGGAAAGTATCTGGAAAATTGAAAAAGCTTTTTGTAGCATGAATCCTTTGATCTTCACAGTTAAAAAAAAATGTTGTAGATTATTTGAGGAACAAGCCAGTCTGCTTATTCAAGAAAGGAATACCCAAGGAATATTCAACAATATATTCAAGAATATTCAAGGAATATTCAAGAATATATTCAAGAAAGGCCACCCAAGGAATAACTGACAGCCCATACACAAAATGCCTGACTCTAAACTGGGCATGTTATATCTGAAAGTGGCTACGTAGATAAATCTGGGTAACTTGCAACATGGAAACTTTACCTAAAATGCATTATACAGCCACAAAGAGCCACACAGACTTTTTATCAAAGAACAATACCTTTATGGAAAAATCAAACTTATGTAATTAAAAAGTGACAAATCATAAAAATTAGAAATCAAGGATAGTAATTAAAAGAAAATAAAAAAATTAAAATAGATCACTGGATTAAATAATAGATGGGTTAAAATAAATATGAAGAACACAGTCATAAAATCCATTTATACTGAGTGCGTCACGGAGTTTAACTAAAACTACTTCTCATGTATTTTGTTTAACGGGCTTGTTGGAATAGATGAGTTGTATAAAGAGACCATCTAAAAAGGCACAGGTTACGGGAAATGCAAATAAAACTGAATGCTGTTATTAGAGCTCGGCTTGGCAAAAAAAGAAAAAAAATTCTGTTGCGCTTAGTTACCGAATGGAGACCTTCAACTGCAGTATTGCCTCAAAAAAAAATCCTTCATGAAGCTATCAACACAGTTCCAAATAGTTATCACTGTTAAAATCACTTATATTTCAATTTTGAAAATACCTGAAACTTACTTTTTTTTTTTTTAACATAAATAATCACATCCTGACAAAAGAAGCCTTGTTCAGAGGGTGAATTTCCATCACGAAGTTGGATGAGGGTGGATTTCCAGTGCTAAACTTGAAACAGGAAAGTATTTTAAAATCTTCAGGATGTAGTCCCTGTATTAAGTCCCTATGTATATGGTGGATTTTCACAAAACTTATCAAGACAGAATATCAGTGAATATCAATACAGACTGAGGTAAAACTTCCCAGTGGCCTGCACAGTTATAGATATTCTTAAAAAAAAGGAGGTGAAGGCACGAGGAGGCACAGAAAGCAGGATTCATCTATACAAAGCTGTCTTTGATGATAAGCAAACATCTACCTTGTTGGGGCATGTTAAAGATATGGATAAATTCTAGGTCACTGCTCTAGGGAGATCAAAAATTGAGCCTTACCCTATAAAAGCACACAGTATCATTCAAGCGCTGTAAGACTTGAATTTGATTCCTGTCAGTTTACCTTTTACTCTCATAAGCTGCTTTGATGTACATGACAATCCATCAGGCAATGGGTGCTTTAGAAGCTAGAAATCCCTTCTTTGAAGCTCCAAGTGAAATAAATCAGCTGTCAAGCTTCATGAGCTCTGTTTTTTTCCTAAATAGTTTTAAACGCCTGTTTAATGTCCAAACAATAAAATGTCTTTTCTTTGCTACTTTTAGGTTACAAGTAAAATGAGGTGAGTGAGGACAAAGAACTTTCATTTTAAATGCTAAACCTGATGTCCTTAAAAAAGTTATTGACCTATCTAAAGACTGAGATACTGTAGGTTTAGTTTAAAAGCATAAAATATGTACAAGCTAACTTTAGCAGCCAAGAAATAATATGTAGAATGCCAAAGAGCACATACACATGATTCATTTTTTTTGTCTCTTTCTAAGCTTGATACCCCTGAAGAAAGTATGTAGATTTTTATCTGAGTAGAAGCAACTCAGTGGTTTTACTCTCCCATTTTGGTATGTCAGTAAAATTAAACCTCCCCTCCTGTCTCTCTGCCAAAGGTTAGCAGAAGACAGTGACCAAATACCAGCCACCTTTGATGACAGTCTCATCTCCTCGCTACACAGTGTTGGAGGGTGAGAACAAGGCAAACCTTCCCAGTGAGAGCAAGCAGGTTTTGTCCAACTATTAGTAAATCAGTTAGGAAAAGGGAACTATTGAAGGGAGAGGAGACTTGATAATAGGTTATAATGAGAGATACACTTGGAAAAGCCTAAATGTGAGCTTCCTCTCTGCATTACACAGATCATTTTTAAAAAATACAAATCCTACGTTCCCTTTTGTACTGCCAAATAATTTATTTTTAGAAGCAACTATATTCTTTAACAACCATCTTCCTTTCTCTTAGATGTTTTGTAAGAGACATGGGGGGTGGGGGTGCTCATGGTGTATAAAACTCATGACACTGAATTTAGCCATTCTGAAGGCAGATTATAATACCAAATTTCTCACCAACGGGAGCTAGAGCACTCCAGATGCTGTGCTGCTGCCCCAAAGCACTGCAAATTGGGCAATGCCTTGCAGTAAAGAGTGGCTGAATTTCTAAATCCTGGAAGTGTTTCCAGGATTCGTCTGTTGAGGGAAGAGTATTTTAATTATATTAAAGAGGCTTATATTCAAGACAAGCTGAGCTGTTCAGGTCTGCAAATGACCAAGTTCTGGGTGTGAGCAGAGGCAGAATATTAAGCAGCTAGTAAATTTTACTGGCAAAAGTTCAGACAACTATATACTTAGGAATGCAGAAGTTGTAAAGAACATATTCCTGTTTTTAGAGCCTTGAGTACTTCCTGTGTCTTACTAGGCACTTAAGTGGTTTTTGCAGACCTATGTTATTTCAGAGGAAACTTGTGTACCTTTCAGTATCCCAACGAAAACTGGCTGCAAATTAAAAATAGCAGCAGAATTTGGAAGATTCACAGTTAACTAAGTTGACAAAGTATTGCTGAATACTTTTCTTTACAATGAGCCAAGCTATATCATGAAGACATGAAACTTACATGACTTTTACTTACTGAAATTTTTCTATTTTTGTTACATGGTCCATTAAAAAAACCCAATTGTGAACTTCCCACTGTATTTGTGATAGCATATGAAATATATAAGAAAAAATATAAAATGTTACAGCAAGCAGAACACAGAATGTACTTACCAATATTAATTTCATCATCAGTTTCAGCATCTCCAATACACTCAAACTGGAAATCTTGTAAAGACTGTGAAAATTTTTGCACTGCCATAGATAAATCTGAAATTCAAGAAAAAGAAAAAAAAAAGAAAATCAGAATTACTCCACTACAACTTCACTGGAGCAAGGTTTCATTTTTTCTGTTTACAAAGTTTCCTCTCTGGTATCTTTTTTGGACAGTAACTTCATTCAAAAATCACCATCACCATTTCAAAATCAAAGTACCTGAGATATCCCAGAAACCTACGAAACACGCTGATGCCAAGTTTCAAACATTAATATACGCATTATATTGACAACTGAAGAACTGTTATACTTCTTCAGTTGAAAAATAAGAATTTTGTATAAGAAATTAATCTCTAGTGGTAAATTGCATATTTAAGTAGACCACATTTAAAATACTGCAAGAATAGTTTGCAGATTAAAATAAAGCTCATGATAGTTTCTTTCGCAAACATTATCAATAGAATTACATTCTAACTATTCTAATATGTTAAAACATTATACAGCGTTATGTAAAATTGGAGGGGGAAAAAATAAACCACAAGTGCTTGCCAATCAATTAGGCTGTCCATAGATTATGAGCAGTAGTTTCACTGAATTACACAGAGTGGACCTTCGGACCAAACAAAGATCAAAGCAATCCAAACTTCACAGCATAAAGTTTCATTGGAATTGTACAGACTTCAACAACAAACAAACAAAAAAAAAAGTAAACACATAATATCAAAGTAACCACATAAATCTGTTCTTTTCTTTTTTAAGGATACTAATGGCAAATGCAGAGATGAATGTGATAACAAATGAACTCGGTCAAGATGTAAAAATGCTACCAGTCCAGGTAAGCCCAGAAAATCAGCAACAATTCTCTGTGTCCTTGGGTATGTTTCTATTGTATCCATTTTGAAACTAGAAAAATTGGCAATTAGGATTCTGATATCTGCTAAATCTAATCAAAAGTCATGGTTAAGGATAAGTTACGAACAAAAGCCAAGTCACAAATTCTGTTTCAAAAGTGTCACGTATCTGCGTCTATCCTTAGGTCTGGACATGGTCCTGGGCAACTGGCTATAAGTGGCCCTGTCTGAGCAGAGTTGGACCAGGTAACCTCCAGAGGTCCCTTCCAACTTCAGCCATTTTGTGATTCTCTGATTTCCTTAACCCTCTGTTATCATAAAGCCATAAATACTGATTTACTCAATGCTGACCACAAAATGTGAAGGCTAACCTTTTTCCTGGCAGGAATAAAACCTAGCCTATAAGTACAAAAAATGGCCTGATGTCCTAAATCAAGACACATACACACCCATAAAGAGAAAAAAAGTGTCATTTAAATTTCAAAAATCTCCAGTAAGAACCATTTCACTATCTAAAATAAAATGATGGTAGAAAATCTTGTAAACACCTCCAAATAAGAATCCACACAGTACGATTACTGATATTTATTTTTTTTAACTAAAGGTAACCACTATCAAGCAACAGAATCCCTACCAAGATTTTGCCTTACCCCTGGATTTACTCAGTACCTGATGCTTTTGTATTTTCATATGCAGCTATACAGTACATCAGTCCAACAAGAGAACCAGCAGTCTTTCGACAAATAAAGACATGAACATGCTTTTTTCTTGTATTAGTAAGGAATTCCATATGTTTATCTGATAAATAACTATCGTGTAAACAACTGAGTAAATAAATTCTGTATCTTCTTGATATAAAGCATGGAAAACAGGAAAGAGTGCTCCCCAGCATTACTGCATTCTTACTGAATATTTCCTACTGTGCTGTACATGAAGATTATATTAATAAATGTATTAACAAAGTGTTTCCTACTGTTTGTACAGATGAAAATAAAATACATCATTATAAGCTAAAGTATTCCATTTTATGCAAGTACAGCCTCTTTGATATCTAACTAATTGTTCTACAGCTCTTAGAAAGACCTAAACTTTAATTTGTGTGCAGCAGGCTGGTTTGAGTTTAAAGGGATGAAACACAATTTTACTGTTGTTTTTTCCATCAAGTTACTACACTGAATCCTAAACCGTTTTATAAAATGGCTGCATACCAATTGATGCCAAAAGGAATAATATGGCTTTAATGTGATTGAATGAAATAGATTCTATATTGAAAGTACACTGAAATGTAAAAATTAACTATCATTAACAGGAATGCAGATTTATTTCCTCTGGATAATCAAATAGCTGCCCACAATGACCAGCACCTCTGTGAACATGAAAGGAAATGAGGGAGCATGGACTCTCCCCTATCACCCTTCCCCATGTGCAGGCCTCAGTGGAACAAATGTCAAGGGAAAGGAAAACAAATGATAAAAATATCCAAGGTGGAGTCTCCATTTTATATCCTGGATTAGTCACACAGATACCGATCTCTCACTGTGTCAGCAAATCGGTGTTAATGCTCATACATTTTGAACCTGAAGGAGCCATATTTAAACTAACTTGGAAATAGCAGGTATTAAAAATGTCATAAGAACTACAGAGCTCATTAGATAACTTGATAAAAATCACCCAGAATGGTACCCTTTTGAGATTTCTGCTTCTATGAGAGGCCTATTCTAATAGCTTGAAAGTATTAAAAGATACTATATTAAGGTTAAAGCTGTTCAGTATAGCAAAGAACAAAATGAAGACCAAAGGTTAAATGTTTCTGTGACACTAATATACAGGTTCTGTACAAAGTTAATTTTACCTGAAAATATAAAAAATATTATCCTACAGAAAATTCCAACTTACTTGGACAGCTTCCTAGAGGCTACAATAGGAGTTACTCTGTAAGAATTCACAAGCTCAACATCACAGTTGAACCACCAACATTGGACCATGGGATTAGTTATATTTATCAACTTCATTTTTAGGTGCGTCATCACTTTACTTGATTACAAAATTCACCTGGTCACAGAAAGGACCAGTTGTGCAATAAGTAGGCCTCCTTTAAGAGATATGAAGATTCAAAACTGAATCAGATTTAAGAGCATCTGCCTCTTCAATCAAGAAGAGGCAAATGATACCACTACCACTTTAATCTTGTCTGGACGAAAAAATGAAAAGAGCAGAGAGATGGAGCAGAGACTTTGTCCAGCTTTACATGATGTCATTTATCACTGTATATTCCAGAGTCTTAATGTCACTGAGAGACCTCAATACATCCTGCTTCTTCTAGACATAGGAAAGTAAATCACCACACCAAACAAATCACCTTTTTATTATCTGCAAGCTATGTGGCATTGCAAGAGTTGCTCTTACTCAGCTTCTCACATGTACATCTTGATAATCATGTCCCTGTTCATGAGGCCCACATAAATTAGGGTATTTCACTTAGCCCAGGACAGAAAATTTTGGAGCAGAGTCAACTGACCTTCTAAGATGCTATAAAAACCTTATCAGGTTTATTGACTGACAGTCCGTGTCTATTATCCAGGGAAGGACGGCTGCACAAAAGTCTCAATGATAACATAGATGTTATTGCCCCTGTTCTTCTGCAAGGACTCAAATAGAGTGACCTCTCTGCATGGCAGGGCAAAAGTGAAAACACACTCTGTTATCCCTCAGTTTCTAGAGAGATGGATTTCTAACCAGCAATTCTAATAACATTTATTTTCCAACAGGACTCGCCTGTACCTTTTGTTTCCTGTTTTCCCCACTTCCAAAGGAGAATTCAGTTCAGTTTCGCAGTAAGGCATATAGTCAAACTTAGCCATCTACACACTACTTACAGTCAGTGGAAGGAGGTAACTGAGATAGAATTGCTTGGTTTAGTAAGGAATGAAGCAAGTCAACTGGCCAGCAAGATTTTTTTTTTGTGGAGCTCTGACAGAGGAAGTACTAAACGAAGCATACTACAATGTGACCGGAAACAATAAAAGGATAATTGCAGCTCAACCACAAGAAAGTAACGTAACACCAGTATATGTGCAGTTATAATGCACATATGATATCAACCGTCAGTATCATAATGTCAGTGAAAGAATAATAAAAGTCACCATTCATTCAGGAAAGTCACAGAGGAATCAGGAAACATGTTACTCTTCTGTACTTCTTCTTGAAGTTTTATATTTTTTATAAATCTGTCTAACACATGTTTTCTGAGTAAAAGCATGGAAAAAATATCTGCATTATTCTATTTAAGACTCACTTTGTTTCAAATTGCAAAAACCAAGGATTTAATTTGGAGCTGTAATATAGTAACTTACTTTAGGCTTCAGATAGGGCCACAAATGCTGGGTATAGGATGCTAAAACTACAGTGCAGTCCCTTTGTATTACTAGAGTTGTTCTAGATTTGTTAAACACATCATAAAATAAACTCTTATATAGACCCTTGAGGAAGTGGAGAGAACAATACACTGCAACAAAGTGATGAAACGTTGGATGCTATTACCTGAAGGACACGAGAATGAGTATATAAGGTTTGGTACAGCATTTCCCAGCAAGGATCAAGTTCTACAGATAAGGACACTTCACAAGATTTCTACAAGTTGGTAAGCACAAAGAACTTTTTTGGCTGGGGTGGGAAGGTGGTTGTTTGTTTTTGCCATTCTGAGGGCTGGAAGAACAGAAGAAAGCCCAAGCTTTCGACAGGAATCAAACAAGCTCCAAGAGCAGAAACTTTATGCACTTGCAAAGGACCCATATCCCTACCCTAAAAACAGCCTGCAAGAAACTGCTCTCAGCAAATATATCAATGTCAAAGTCTTTCCATTTGTTTACTTGCAAAGATGACTTCATTAGCAAATGGAGTTCCAATAATCAACACTCTTTCTGACTGGTGTCAATCATCCTGGAAAAGCTTGGTATCATTCACTGGGTTAATAAAGAAAAACAGCAGTTGAAACCCAGTGAGAAGATTAAACATGCCTAAATGAACTCCTGAGCGCCAGCTGGAATGCAGTAAACAGGACTTCAAACAACAGACGCTCTGGCTAAAATAGCAACAGCAACATATCTGGTGATCTGACACAGAGCTAGTTATTACCGTATGGCTTCAAAGGCAGGAGAAGCAAAGGGGCCATGGCTGGGCTGGCAGGATATTAGAGGC